GTGTGTGTGTATGTGTGTGTGTGTGTGTACATATGAGGTTTATTTATACGATTTTATTATGTCACTATTATATAAATTATTTTGGCATGTTATTTTCTTGTTATATTTATATTCACATAAGTTGAAGTAACGGAGGTTATTTGAATACTTGTGCTATTATGTGGCTAACGAACAATGGGTGCCAGTGTTTACCTGATAAAGGGTCCAAGCTACAATGTTACAACGAAATGAAGATACGCCTATAGGGCCTAACGTACTCTGTTGGTACAAATTGAGAAGGTTAATCTCAAAAACAAATACAGTACTGTACCTGTAATTATGTATTTTCTATGATACCGTTGAAATCTTTTGAAATGAGGACGTGTCCAGAATAACTGTCCAAATAAGGGTCATATTGTAACGATTACCGTTATTAATAATGTTGAAAGAATACCGGTACCGTATCATTTAAGATGCCTTCACGGCTTACCGGAACTGTTTATGGTTTTTATCATGTTATCTACAGTACTTGTAAAACATGATATATAATGCTTCATCCATACATCTCCGTTAACTAGGCCTATTGTTCTTCCTGTAACTGATCTAGAATTCGATTATCAGTTTCTAATTGCTCATTGTGTCAGGTTATTACTAAGAAGAGCTCAGAATTAAATACTCTGTTCACCGTGTGTAACTAAACACCTTGACGACGCAAACACAAGCAAACGCAACTCGGTGTCAACATTACATGGTATGAACCAGTGATATCCTGCAAAAGTTGTCAATTAACGTGAAAATTTAAACAAAAGGCAATTATATAAAAATAATTAATAAGTTAAGGGGAAAATATCAGTGTTGATAAAAAGGTCAGTGGAATGCATACACACGCACACTGGCACGCCAAACATTAGTTGTACCATTAGTTTAAAGTTTAAACTGTTTAAACTAATTCCTCCATGGTTGTACATGCGAGGAAGTTGCCGAAGACATAATTTATAATTAAAGACCCACATCATACCAATCCTTTTACTTAATAGTTAAATATTCATTCGAAAATGGAGTGTATCAATTGCTGAGCAAACACAGTAAATGGACCTGTTGTTAGTTAACAGATCAACGAATGATACGAAATGCACGCACGTTGACGACTGTAACGACTGATGGCCATCCGCTCAAAACTCAATGCAAGCGAACCAATAAACTGCAACAATGATTGTTTCAGTGGCTCAGAAAATTAAAGGCCTTACCCTAAATCCAACTATTATTATTATTATTACCATTATAAAATTTTACTTAGTAAATGTAAATAAATCATAAACGAGTCAAGAAATTGTTCAGCAAACACAGTTAAGTGGGCATAGGTGGACCTATATTAATTAATGGATCAACGAATGATACGAATTATACGTACGTTGATTATGATTGGTCAGTCACATAATATTACCCTACATGTCTCCATAAAATCGCTACCGGTAAACGATATCACCAACAGCTTTCGGCGACGCTGTTTGTTCGGTCGAATCGTGGAGCCGTCCCGATTGAATCGGGGTATGTCCCCGATATATAAATTGGAAGTGCACGATGTCTTTTAATTTAAATAATTAATTAATTTCGGGAACAACATCGAAAAAGTACGCGTTGACAGATTTTATGATTTTTATTTATATGTATGAGCCTGTGACAATGAATATGCACCCCTGATATCCGTGACCAGACCAAGACCTGTCTCTTATACACATCTAGATGTGTATAAGAGACAATGCCTCACAGTTTTTAACATGATCAAATATAACACTATCAGATCGTGAAGAATGTTCTTTAAGTCTAGTTATTAAGCACCTATCTGTCTTACCAATATAATCACTATTGCAGCCTGGACATTTAAAATGATAGACAACAGAACTTCTGTACTCCTTAGGGGTTTGATCCTTAGTAGATATAAAATGAGAAACATTTTTATACTGCCATAAAGTTCTGAATTTTACCTCTTTAATTAAGTGTTTCTTTACCTTATTTAAACATCTACGTAAAATGAACTCATCTGGTTTTCCTAGATAAGGCAATCTAACCCAAATCTTAATCAAGCTATCATCAGTAGGCCTATGTATACATTTAGGTTCATTTAATTTCATTTAATTTAGGTTCATTTTAATTTAAGCACCCTTTGCTTAACAATGGGCTCAGAGCTTCAAAAGAGCTTTCTTTGTTTTTGTAGGTATCTTTGATCATTAGAGTAAGAATGCTTTGATCTTTTGTTTAAATCACTGCTATGTCACCTACTAGAGCAGTAGTAACTGCTGTCTCTTATACACATCTCAGTGCATATAAGCTTGCTAATATGGATAATTTTTTCATTCCTGATGATGACATAATTAATGTCGAAATATTGAATCCCAACACGATGGCGTGTATTTCAATACTTGGAGTATGTATTATACTTTCATACGAATTATACGTACGTTGATTATGATTGGTCAGTCACATAATATTACCCTACATGTCTCCATAAAATCGCTACCGGTAAACGATATCACCAACAGCTTTCGGCGACGCTGTTTGTTCGGTCGAATCGTGGAGCCGTCCCGATTGAATCGGGGTATGTCCCCGATATATAAATTGGAAGTGCACGATGTCTTTTAATTTAAATAATTAATTAATTTCGGGAACAACATCGAAAAAGTACGCGTTGACAGATTTTATGATTTTTATTTATATGTATGAGCCTGTGACAATGAATATGCACCCCTGATATCCGTGACCAGACCAAGACCGTTCAAATTGTGTTTAAATTTAACACTTACGTATAAAGAGGCTAGATATAGGTAGCTATGTTAGAAACTACCGGATGAGCAACCCCCATCACTTTTGTAAAGGGCCTAATGTAGGCTATCGTTAAAAGTCTCATGATGAGATATTTTCGAAGCTTAGCCTATCGTAATATTCTTTCCGAGGCTCACTCACGCCATATTAATGCTTCTGGAATCGGTATGAATAAGGATACTGGTATTAAAACTCACCCTGAATCCTCCTCCCATAATCCTCATCGCAGACACTGGTTTACAGCCAGGGAACGCTCCTGTCTTCACTCTGCGATTCCTCTTCCCTGTGAAGACCGGTCCCATGTTATCCTGAGCCAAAATAGTGCCACACATAGCGAGAACTATTCCCGACAAACGAAATAATATTCCAATATGGACTTGTCTTTCGTGTAGTTGTCACCCGAGCGTAACTATTTTGATATTTGTCATGGAAACACAGTTCGTTACAGTTTCTATTGTTATTCTATTATTGCATTGTTGTCTTTTCCGGGTTTTAGTGAGTTTTAGTTCAGTAAAAGTATATATATATATCTGTCTCTTATACACATCTAGATGTGTATAAGAGACAGATCTAGGAGTTTGAACTGAAAGGATTTCTGAAATT